TCTGATTAAATCTTTCCATCCTGTATTCAGTGAGAATCTATCCTAGATATCTAAAGAATTTTCAGCATAGTAATGGTTCTGTGTATATTATGGGGAAAACTGGGAATAGGTAAGAATCCCACAGAAGAATATGGTCCAAAATGAACCTTCAAGTCACAAACATGAGATGGGAGTGATTTGAGTAGGAAAAATGGAAGACGTCTTTCAAGAGTAAGGAAAGAAATGAATTTTGGGGGATGAAGTTATCCACAGAAAGGAATTAGACATGAGCATAGAAGATTAGCAGAATTCAACTAAAATGCAAATTGCAAGTTGGAAGTTGTGAATAGTAAAGATCCAGCCTCATAAGATGGTAACTTATTGGCTGGTGAAGAGAGAAATAAGTGGGAAAGATTATTAGTGAAGAGGATAGACAAGTAGGTCTAGAGAATGAGTAGTTTGAACTTGATGAAATAGGCTCTAAGATGAGAATTATTTCAGTCTAGTCCTCCAAGGTTGTGGTTAAGGAAAGTAGACAGCACTAGTAAGAGACACCGAAAAAGAAGATTCTATAGGCCACAGTGACTCAAACAAGGTGGGAGTAAAGATATACAAAAAAAACTCCGACTTAAACAATGCTTTATGAAAAGTGCCCTATTTTATCCAAAATGATGAGGTATCCATGAGCTATCCAATGCTGCATTTTGATTTCCATGACTAAGAGAGAGATTATTTTAGAACATAGTCTCATAAAGGACAATTTTAAGCCTCCTGTTTCATCAGCCTCACTCTCCCTCACTTGCTCTTTGAAACTCCTGGTTGGGAGTCAGGTCATTGTGAGACCACACCTACAGGACACTAGTCTCATCAGTCACACTCATCTTGACTAAGAGGATTCAGGTCAATAGCCCTAAAACTATCTGGCCTAAATATGGCCGTGTAGGAAACAATGTACCCTTCCAGGCAATATAGTTATGAAAATATGCACTGGCTTTCAAAAAAATGTATCATCTTATTTTTACAGAAAACCTTTCCTTGGTAAAATTAAAAGTGTTTTCACAAGCATGATCTCATTTTCACAGTAGCCCTGCAACAAGGAAATGGAGGAGATATTTTAATTCCCATTTTATAAAAGAAGTTGAGAGATGGCAAGATCAAATGACTCCTTTACCATTCTCCCTCTTAAGTAGGCCAGAAGGTTGGAGCCAGAGCCAAAGTTCCTAAGGACATCTCTTTTTGTGCTCTTAAACCCCGTCTTTCTCAGGAGTTGGCTTGGCACTATGGGATGATATATACCAGGTGGCTCATATTTTTCTTTCACAACATGTAAATGACATTCATACAGCACAGTCTGTAAATATCTTACCCAATCAGTTCTATCTGCACAAGCAAATGTTTGCTTACATCTCTGTCTACAGAAGTTTTTTGACTTGACACATTATCTAGGCATCTACATATTCTTTAAAGTGGACAGTTCAGTACTGTCAGGTGTTAGATAGTTTTATGCTTTAATAACTGAGCACTCATCTTTTACATTCAGAGATCTATGTAACTCCTAAAGATATTATTGCAGCATTCTTTATTGCTTGCTTGATGGCTTGAAAAATTGCTCTGAGTGGAAAATATCCATAAATTTTAAAAGGCACCCTAACTAAGAATCACAGACAGTTCTCATTTCCATTTTGAAATAGAAAGATCACATTAAAAATCAAAAATAAGTAACATTAATCAATACAATTCAAGTGACTATTCTTTAGACCTGGCAGGGAACCTAGAAAGCTTTGAACGTTACCCTTAGTTCTTTTCCCCTAGCAGAAGGGAGGGGAGAATAAAATATGCTTGGGGGACTGGGGAGGGGGTCATCAGCATTGGTTAAGTTAGGGAAAGCTTTAGAGGAAAGTGGCATCCGTTATCTTCCTGCCCTTTGTTGCTCACTCTGAAACCCAGTGCTTCCACAGTCATATTCAAGTTGTCCTTGATTATCACTCTCATGGGGATATCTTGATGGGAATGTTTGGATTTTATAGAGGAATAAAATCAAGGACAAATAATAACTATTAAAATAGCAATCATCATTGCATGATAATTTACAGCTTACAAACCTTTCACTTCTATAGTCTTATAAGTTATTTCCCAGAAAACAGTAAGTTGATATTATTATTGTTCTTCGTTACTTCAGAAGGCTCTGAGTCACAGAGGATTCAAGTGAGTTTTTGGAAGTCACACAGCTAGTAGGTGATGGAGTGAAAGCCTAGACCAGTCTGTAAATACTGCTATCCCAGGCAGCCTCCCAACCCACAGAGAATGTTGAATAAAGAATGCATGTGGTCATCAAAAATAGTCAACGGGAAAAATAAAAAAGAGTCACCAAATAGGAATACTGGGGAAATGAGATGCATCAAGAGGAAACCCAAATCATCAATAAATATATGGAAACATGCTTACACCCACTAGCAATCTGGGAAATGCAAGTTAAAACATCAACTAGATTTATAAAAATTAAGTCTGAGTATAACAAGTATTGTGCCAGATGAGGAGCAATGATAATTCTGACACACTACCAATTATGGTGTTAATCAATATGACCCATTTGTTGATCTTTTGCCCTTATCTAACAGGAAGATCACATGGCCTGTGCTCAGCAATTCTATGACAAGGTTCATAGCTCAGAAGAACACTCCCACAGAGCATAGGAGCCATGGAAAGAGGTTCATAACAGAATGATTTTTAATAGGCAAAAATTTGTAAAAATCCAAGTGTCTATTAATAAGAAAATGAATAAATCTTAATAAATAGTAATATAGCCATTCAATAGATAATATGTTTCAATGAAAATTAATGAATTAAAGATATAAGTATCAAATAGATGAGTATCACAAATATATTTTAAGGAAACAGAATATTAAAATGTTAAATTCACAAAAGATTTAAAACATGCAAAGCATTTTAGGGATTATCATTATCTGGGGGTTAGAAATAATCTCCTATGAGTATCCAAGTATGACATAAGCACATGTAAATGACAAGCCTCAAATGCAGGACAATGGTTGTTTTTGGAAATGGCAATATGGGAACACAGTAGGAGACAAGATGCTAACCAAAAAGGTTTCAACTACTATGAGCAATTTTGTAATCATTAAGTTGAAAGGTTGTACACAGAATAAATCCCTAACCATGGTCACTATCCATTTCAGAATTATCCTGACAAATTGATCTCTACTGAGTTGTTCATTTGACAGTCTGTGAGAATATGTCTCTTCACCCCTCCTATACTCTTAGGAATAGTCAGAAACAATCTCTATTTGCAAGTTCAATCTTATTTTTCTTTCAATCTTTAAAATGTGTGTAACATATCATAATATTTAAAAATACAAGAGGCAGAAGAAGGAAAAAGAATCTATCTCAATCAGACACTTCTCTAGGACTCTGAGACAATTGAAAATAATGCCAAAGCTTCCCTGATTGCTCCAACCCTCTAAAGAGGAATTACAGTAGCAGAGAGGGGATCCTAGTTCAGTTCTGAGTCCTGACTCAGCGTCCCAGTCACCTCACCAGCACCCTCTCTGGTAGAGGTAATAAAAGAGAAAATTTCCATCTGACCATCACATGGCTGGGACATTTTCCAGAGGCAAACATATCCTAATTTCCTGGCAATGCACGTTTGTTTTCTAGCTTAGCACCTTCGAACAGTTCTCTTGCATTTGAGAGAAGTGTCAATCAAGTCAATGCTGTCAAGGACACTTTACTTAGGATTGTTTTGTTCATAGATTTATTTATTTTTAAGTGAATTCAGTGAAGAAATCATGTTGTAGCGCAAACTTATTAAAAGCTAGAAAAATATTTAATTCTGAATGTTAAACTCAGTGTTTTCATTTTGAGTGTTTGCAATCTTAATGGACACAGAATTCTCAGAATAAATCCCTAACCATGGTCACTATCCCTTTCAGAATTATCCTGACAAATTGATGTCTACTGAGTTGTTCATTTGACAGTCTGTGAGAATATGTCTCTTCACCCCTCCTATACTCTTCAGTATAGTCAGAAACAATCTCTATTTGCAAGTTCAATTTTCAATTATTATGGTTTTTGAGGATAAAAATACCAATCCATGATAGAACAATTCTCCAAAAATAAAATGGTTATTCATACGTAATTGAAAATTTTAAAACAATTATCTCAAACAACCATGTCTTTCTGCATTTTAAGAAGGAAAAATTATTCTTCTGAATGTTTTATAATGAACAATTTGTATTCAGGGCATTTCTCCTATCATAAAGTTAGCTTCTAACTGTTAGACCTCTGCAAATATGTTATAATTCATTGGAGAGAAAAGACAAATGTCATTGTTGAAAATGATCAACAGAAATATCAATTTATCTAAGATTAGAGGATGAGCCTATAGCAGCTTCTGGTTTGAATGCCAGTGTCCCAAATCTTTTACATCCTATTTTAACAATAATATTAATAATAGTCCACCTTTATTGAGAGTTCACCATGTTTTAGGCACGGTGCCAAACATTTTTCCTTCATTATATCATTTCGTCTTCATAACAACTTTACAAATGAAGAACTGTGGTACCAAACACCCAGATATGAGTGCTTCCTTTTTCATCCAAATCTCATGGCCACCACTTCTCAGTACTCTGGAAATTCTATTAACTGAACTGCACCAAAAATACAAGTGAGGATGAAAAAGAAGCTTGCAATCTATGTTTCTTCAAGGCACAAACTCTTCTCACCTTTTCTTTCTTAGCCTTCCTTTCTGAATATGAAGTTGTTTCTGAATTTCAAGAATAACCAGAGTCTTTTTTTTCCCAGCATTTGATCATTTTATTTGTTGGCAGACCTGTTGTAACCTTGAGTCACCTACAGTGAATTTAAGTATTATTCTAATTGATTTTCTCACTGCTTACTGAGACACCGAGCACCTCTTTCACTAGTCTCATAAATAATTCCATTTTTCTCTGTTGACGTTAATTGAACTTACCTCATGTTGTCAATCTCTCTTTTTTTCCTTGCAGGTGATGTCATTGTCTATATTAATGAAGTTTGTGTCCTTGGACACACTCATGCAGATGTTGTCAAACTTTTCCAGTCTGTTCCCATTGGTCAGAGTGTCAACCTGGTATTGTGTCGTGGCTACCCTTTGCCCTTTGATCCTGAAGATCCTGCTAACAGCATGGTGCCACCCCTTGCAATAATGGAAAGGCCACCTCCAGTGATGGTCAATGGAAGACATAACTATGAAACCTATTTGGAATACATTTCTCGGACCTCACAGTCAGTTCCAGATATAACAGATCGGCCACCTCATTCTTTGCACTCCATGCCAGCCGATGGTCAGCTAGATGGCACGTATCCACCACCTGTCCATGACGACAATGTGTCTATGGCTTCATCTGGGGCCACCCAAGCTGAACTTATGACCTTAACCATTGTGAAAGGTGCCCAGGGCTTTGGCTTCACTATTGCTGACAGTCCTACAGGACAGCGAGTGAAACAAATACTTGACATTCAGGGATGCCCTGGCCTGTGTGAAGGCGACCTCATTGTTGAGATCAACCAGCAGAATGTACAGAACCTGAGCCATACAGAAGTAGTGGATATACTTAAGGACTGCCCTATTGGAAGTGAGACTTCTTTGATCATCCATCGAGGAGGTAAGACACACACTGACTCAGCAATGTAGTAAAATGGCCAGACATTTTATAATATTGTTAAAATGGAGGTTTCTGTAGGGGGGAAAGAAGAAATCGTGCTTCTAATTTTCTTTTAATGTTTTCATGAAGAAAACATGAACATGGGAAACTGTTTTTTTTAAATTTTGAGAATATATATTTTCATATTTTATATCTAACAACAATAATAGTGCTTTCAATATATTGACATGAACTTGGACAGTAAATATTGAATCCCCATGAATGAGCTGTATTTCCAACATTCATTAGTGCACCAGTTATAGAAAATTCAGTCTGGTTGCCCATTGATTTAAGTAAGAAACCTACTTTTCCAACGTAAGCAATGCTTTGAATTGTGCCCGGGATTCCAGACCAGGAGGTGGAAGCTAGTTCAACTCTTGCTGATCTCAATAAGGATTGATCTCAATAATTAGGAGCTATGTTGCTATTAAAAAATATCCTTTCAGAGTTCTTAATAGGGTTTTTCGGGACACTTCTTCCACTATTTTAGGACACTATTATGGATATTGTTGTTGAAGCAACACCTTATCTCGGTGCTCCAGCAACAGTTATCCATGGGGCCTCCCATGACCCAGGAAGTAAGTAATAGAAAAGGGCTAGAGTTGAAACTCTGGGCTGAATATTCTGAGTGACATCTGGAAATGGGAACAGGGAAGAGTGGTGTGAGTTCTGATTCCTTGTTGTTTCTTCTCTACTTTCTCTGTGGGGAAGGAATGGGGCAAAGCCAAGCATTCCCCTTTCACTTCTCTGCTGCTAAACTCTTTTTGACAAGTGAAACTGGAGCAGGAAGGAGGAAAGAGGTTACTGATATAGATACCACAAGGCAAAATGTAAAGAAACTATTGTCATGTATGTAATAAATAAACAAAAGATAAATTGAGGTTAGTAAAATATTGAGATCAATAGAAAAAAAAAAGACTCAGGGGAAGTCTTGGTTTTCTCATCTACCAGTTGTGGGACTTAGAACTCATAAAGTCTATGAGCCACATCTGGTTTGTTACTACAGACAGTAATGCCACCTCCCCCCAGGGGTAGTGTCCTAGAACTGAGTGTCCTGCAGTATGTGCTCGCTATTTATCTGTTGAGTCTCAATTAGCACTGAAGCTTCAGCAGAGACAGCTCAGAAGGAGCAGTGCTGTGAGGAACTCAGGCATGAAGAACGCAACGTATGGCGGACATACGTGATGGCCTATTTTGAAGTGCTAAACTCAACGTGAAAGCCCTGTCAGTTTACAAGCGAAAGAAATCAAAGTTGAAAGAAGCACCATTTGTGATTTATTTCACCCTCTTCAAGGAAGTATTATGTTGTTGATTCACCAAATACTTTGTAATTGTGAACGACACTATAAAAAGTATTATGTGCCTACATTACAAAGGGAAACTAATATAACAGCAAAATGACCTTAAATTTGCTCTTCTTAAGGAGTTGTTAGAAAATTGGACTTGAATTTTGGTAATTAAAATGCTGACAATGGATTTTAATTGTTCCCATGGTTTAAGATTAATACACATATTCCTCATTAACTAGCTGTCATGTTCATAATGTCCAATTGAAAAATCAAACTTTGAGAACAGTTTCTTGATGTTAGTATAACAGAAAGCCACCATGCAGGATCCACTCCATGATTCACAGAAATGAATTTGGATGCATTTAATTTAAAATGGCTTCTTAGTAAGAAAAGTGACTTTGAAATACTTTATTTATATTATCACTTTATTTTATATTACTTTATTTATGTTATTAAATTTTGGACATTTCTGAAAACATTTTTCTGTGGGCCTACTTTTAGCTAGAGTCCCTGCTCACACCCCGACTCCCTCATTCTCTTGCTTTCTCATTTAATCCTCAGGTAATCAAAGTTTTGTTAGCATTTTGCTTGTGTGGGGGGAGGTGAGTGCTTTGCTTTTATATTTTGGCTAGTGTAGAATTGCAGGATGTAGTAGGCTGAGATAATTAGAATACTTCTAGTCACAGACCTCTTGAGTTTTCCTGAATTCCCACAATGTGCACCCATTGGAAATTAGCACCATTTTTTTGTGATAAGTTTCACTTTGATGATCTTATTATAGGCTACTCAGAAGTGCTCCTGACCTGAGCAGGGTCACCAGCCCAGTCCTTATATCAGGACCATGGTTGGTTGATTGCTTTTAATTATTTACTACTACTTCTTTATTTATGATGTAATAACGTACATGGTTTAATTCTTTAAGCAAATAATGTCAGAAAATACACAATGAAAAGTAACTATCTGTTCTATCCCAAATTTTTAAGTCCTTTTTCCCAGAGGCAAACATGTTTTTGGTATATATACTTCCAGAAAGATTATCATCTACTGGCACACATATGTGCTATATGTGATATAGGTAGGATGATATAAAAATATTTTGCCTCAAAGTGTCTTGGTTATAAGGATGTTTTTAACTTTTTAAATATGTGCCATGCATAATTTACATGCTATAAAATTCACAAAGCATTACAAGTATATACACTTCATTAAGTTTTGCTAAAATGCTAGAATTGTATAACAAGCACCATCATTTGTGGATCATCCATCATCCTGAGTTCCTTTTTTCCAATTGTTTGCCTATTCCCTCTCCTACCTCTAGTCCCAGGTAACCACAAATTTGCTTTCTAAATAGTTTATTTTTGTAAGTAGAATATTTTTATAAGTTGAATCATAGAATATATAGTATTTTTCATAGCATAAAAGTTTTAAGAATTATTCAACAGATGTGTGTCCAAGTAGTTTGTATCTTTTACTACCCAGTAGTATTCCATTGTATGGACCTTTCTTGTACATTTGCCAGTGGGTGGGCATTTGACAAAACTGAATTTGCAGAAATGTGAAGGCCTACTTCTAGAATCTTTATTCTGTTTCACTGATCTGTATATCTACTTGTGCTAATAGCATGCTTTCTAGATTATTGTAGCTTTATGTTATGCCTCGAAATCAGAGAATGTTTGTGAATCCTCCAATTTTTTTTCTCCCTTTTCAAAATTATCTTGGCTATTCAAGGTCCTTTGCATTCCCATAGACATAAAAATTTTTTATGATTGGATTTTTAATTGTTTTAAATAAAAGTCCTGCTGAGATTTCAGTGTTATGTTGAATCTATAGTTTCCCAGATTAACATTAATCTTTTCACTTCTCATATGTATCTTCATTTATTTTGATCTTCTTTAATTTCTCTCGGTGACGGTTTATAATCTTCAGTGTGCAAATTTTGTACATTTGTTAAACTTATTCCTAGATGTTTTATTCTTTCTAATATTATTGTACATAAAATTGTTCTTAATGTCATTTTCAATTATTCATTGCTAATATATATATAAAAGTATTTGATTTTTGGTTTTGATCTTGTACACTGCAACTGTATCAAACTCACTGTTTATGTCTAGGGACTTTTGTAGCTTCCACAGTATTTTCTACCTAGTTACTATTTCTTTCAGTTACACGTCTTCCTTTTCTCCTTTCCAGCTTGTATGCCTTTGAAAGCTTCCCTTTGCCTTATTATACAATCTAGAACTCTCTGCATGCTGTCAAGTAGGAGACATACAAGCAGACGTCCTTACCTTCCCTAGTTAAAAGAGAAAGCTTTAGCCTTAGAACATTAAGTATGATTTTTAGGTGCAGGGTTTTTATATGCCCTTATCAAGTTGAGGAAGTTTTATTTAATTAGACTTTTAATAATCAATGGGTCTTGAGCTTCATCAAATTTTTTCTGCATCTATTAAAATGACCATGTAATTTTATTCTGTTATCCTGTTAAAATAGTATATTATGTAATATAATTTTTAGATGTTGGACTAATTTTATATTCCTAGTTTAACTCCACTTGGTCACGGTGTCTCTCTTTTTTTTTTTTTTTTGTAAGTTGTTGGATTCTGTTTCCATATATTTTGCTAAGGATTTTTAAACCTGCTTGGGCAGGGGTTTGTTCTGTTGTTTTCTTTGCATGTGATGTCTCTGTCTGGATGAAAGCGCCAACCCCCTTTGCTTTCTAAAAAAATTTGGGTTCACATAGTATTTCTGCCTTAAAAGTTTGATAAAATTCCCTCATGGTGTCATCTAGGCTAGGCTTTTATTTGTTAAAATATCTTTTTAGTTATTAACTCAATTTCTTTTCTTGATTTAGGTCTCTTCCAGTTTTCTTTTTCTTTGTGAATCAATTTTGGTAATTTGTGTTTCTGTATCTAAGAACCAACTTTTGGATTCATTGATTTTCTTTGTCTTTCCAGGGGAGGGAAGTATTTGTTTTGTTTCAATAGTTTTCACTCTAATCTTTCTAATTTCATCTCTTCCACTTATTTGTGTTTAGTCTACTTTTCCTTTTCAATCTTTTTGAAGTAGATGCTCAGATGAGGGATTTTAGTTCTCTTTCTAATAAAGATATTTAATGCTACAAATTCACTTTAAACACTTCTTTAGCTAAGTTCCACAACTTTTGAAATACCATGCTTTCCTTTTTCACTCAGCTTAAGATATTTGCTTATTTTTCTTGTAATTTCTTCTTTGGATCATAGATTACTTAGAAATGTGTTACTTATTTTTCAAACATTTGGGATTTCCTAATTCTTCTATTGTTGATTTTTAATCATTTGATTGTGGAAGACTTAATTTATATGATTTCAGGTCTTATTAATATATTGCACTTGTATAATAGCTTAGTGTCTTGCCTTCTTAATTTAATTTGTTTTGAAGAGTTTTATATATGCATTCAGAAATATGTTCCATTATTTTAATTCTTATAATCAGATACCTTCAAATGGATATTTTTGTTGTTTTCAGTCATTTTCTATTATAAAAATAATGTATCTCTAATCTATCTGCACAGGAGTATAGAGCTATAATAATCTATAATATAGATTCATTCTTTCATTCTCTTTTCTTCTTAAACACTCACACTGTGACAGACTATTTTTTTTTTTATTTGTTTGTGTTTTGTTTTGTTTGGCACTG